CCATTTTGTAGGTGCATTGTTAGGCGTCTTGACAGGGTTGTGGTAGTCATTTCCGATGTTAATAATCACTTCAATAAATAAAGGAATCAGAAAAACCTAATTCCAAAATAACAGTATTCTGTATTTAAACAACTATAAGATCAATAATATTAAAATTTATTTCCACTGGGACAAGTAATTAAGAAATACAAGTTAATTACTTAGTTAATGACTATATATTTTCATAAGTTTCTGGAAAGAATTCCATACGTATTAAATCCAAGTATAAATGAGATTTACTTAAAATAAAAAGTAGTGTTTCTTTGAGTTCCTACTTTACAAAGAAAATACAGATATATATGTGGTTATTACTTTAGTAATTCATAAGAAATAGGTATATAGTGATTACCTTTAATAATTGGTGTGAACTTTTTGACTGTAAACAAATGTGGTTTATACAGATTGCAAACTAACACACTGTGCCACTAAACTGTGTTCTTTTCATAAAATAACCAATAATTTAATTCAAACTTGGATGACGAGAATGCTTTATTTTATTATATTCAAAATTATATTGTAATGTTTTGTTCACGTTGGTGCAGGTGGCATACCTGGGGGAGCACTCTGGCCATGTGCCCCAATTTTGACCTGTTAGCAAAGTATCCCTTTGAATGGGGAATGGAGACTCATGTATAATTGTCATGGCAAGTCACTACTTTAGTTTTGTGTTCAATGGTCATGATTAACATAGCAAATAATGTTTTTTCAATCATCGATGCTACCCTCCCCTCGAATTCAAAATGTTCCATCACTTATGCATGCCGGAAAGAATGAGCTGAAAGTGATAAGCTTAAAATTGTCTGCTCGTTTGATAGCTTTCTTTAATACAAAGTATTTACGTATTACTTTTAGCCTTTGTGGACTTGCCTGTAGCTTTTGTTAACCTTTTACCAGGATGCAGCTTTCACTCTAGTCATGAAAGTCCTTCTGGCTGTCAAAACTAGTGAGATGGAAAAAGCTGTGAACTGCTTAGATAGGGAACTGGTAGATATATTAATGAAGTACATATACCGAGGATTTGAGTGTCCATCAGAAGGTAGCAGTGCCCATCTTTTAGCCTGGCATGAGAAGGTAAGAGGTAATATGTATTGAAAAGGAGTTAGCAGTGATTTGAGAACACCAAGATTCTGTTCTTGTTTAAGAAGGAAAAAACTATAAACAAAGAAATACAAGTTTGTACTACATACTGATATCATCTGAACTCAGTTAAAAATCTTACTATCTATCAGTTTGCCAAACAGAAGTGTTGTATGCATCTTTTAGATGGCTTAGAATGATAACACTTGAATTTTGGTTTTAATATTTTTATGATAGCATTGTGTTGTAGTAGATTAAATATGCCACAAGAATTTTTTCACAGAGCTCGCTGCTAGTGCTAAACAATTCCCTCCCTTCATTGAATTACAGTGAGTAAACAAGGTGTACTCTAGTCTTTGTTTAATGTTACTCTCGTTAACATATCGGTTATGATGTTTAATATATCCAGTCGTATTATTATTATAATACATTTATTATATAGGTAGTTTTGATTTGTTAGATTAAAATAAGGATTTAAGACTTGCCAAATCTCTTGAAGTATCATTCGGTTTATGGCCGGAGATATTGTTAACAGCGACGGTATTCAACTGATGAAACACTTCATTCTAATCTTTTTAAGTGAGAATGCAAGAAAAGTATACTTAGTAATTGCGAGGTTGATTTTTAATTTTGTTTTTTAAAATTACTTTTAATTAGTCAGATTTTATAACCCAGTCAGTATATCAAGTTGTAAAATTTAACGATTTTATAGGGGTCCTGTTTGGATATTTAGCACCAAAAAATATATATTTGTGATATATATTTCTTTTCATTTTTGTACATCTTTGATAAATCTTAATCATGGTAATGAAAAATATACATACCCGTTATTAACTTTTTCTGTTGTTTTTTTTTTGTTAAATTTAATTTGCTATTTTTAATAGAAATACTAAACCATAACATAATTTTTCTGACTCTAAATGTATTGTATTGTTTATATATCTTTCTATTTTTTTTCTTGCAGGCATATGCTACAGGAGGGGTCGGCTCAATTGTAAGAGTGTTGACCGATAGGAAAAAAGTGTAGCTTTATGGAAAGCAAGATTATTTAGGGTAGTTCTTAGATCTAGAAGTAAGAACCTATAAAAACAAAAGTTGTGTGTGTCATTATATATTATTTGGATGAGTGATTGAAAGAAAAACAAAATCCCAATATTAAAAGTGGCATTTACTATAATGAAAAGATCTCAATTTTTGTCCGAGCACTTCAAATGAAATGTGTACCCAATTTGTAAATCTGTAATTTTTGGGGGGAGCTAAATTACCATTGATTTTTGAATTTTTTTTAGGTTTTACAAATAAAGCCCCAGTCCATTACCATAATTGTAGATTACATTTATCTTTACACAATAGTTTTTAGACTTTTACGAATGCTAATAAAGTTGTTTTCGTTTTTTTATCTTTATATTTTACTGAAAAATGTGTTATCACAGAGTCAAGGCTCCTGTAGTTTAAAAAACGTCCGTATTTAATTTTTGATAATAGATCTGAAAATGAGTATCTCAATTTTGTTTTTTTACGTTAAAGTGAGTAAGAAGTATACCTACGTATTTAATTAAATTTGTTTGTTTTCAGTAAGCAGATATAAATGTGTGATGTAGTGTAGCTAGTTTGTTAAGCATTTTAAGCTGTATCCTAAAAAATAATATAATGTTTAGTGTATTGTTCATGTACAGTTTGCTTGCTTAATGACGTATAATTGTGACAATCAGTTGAAAAGCGTAACAGAGGAAATTAATACCTTTGGTGACGTCCAGTGATATTTTTCTGAAATCCTACAGATATTTTTTTTTCCTCCATAATTCTAGTGTAGAGGTAGTATATATGGCACTGAATTAGTCCAGCATAATTGAGTCCACAAATAACATCTACGAAGTTTCAAAGTACTTGCTTCATTTTGATTTGATGAGATTTGTCCATTTTTTTTTTATTGGTTAAAATATTTTATAGTCGTATATTTTCATTCAAGTTATACTGTTTAATACCATCCAGCGTATTCAATCATCCAAAGCAGCTCGACTTGAAGAGAGTATTAGTAGGCCAAGATGGTTGTTGGAAACGTTTTTATGAAAATAAAACAGTTTTTAAAGAATTAAATGCAAGGCTGAGTTTTAGTGTGAGTTTGTAATAAATTAGTTTTATGTAAACGAAAATACTTTCGAATTTAAAAACAAAAATTATAAGTATTGTGTAAACACAGATAAAATCTTGATAATTTGTTCTATAAAACTATGTTTATTTTTGACAATATATACTTTTTTTTACTTTACAAAAAGAGAGTTCCTTGAAGTTTAGTCATTTGAAAGAAACATTTACCAACTCTTTTTTGTAAGATTACTTACCTTTTACACAAACTATAATTTTTTTGAGGAAAAACTGGTGACATATAATGTAGTTTTTGTTAGCAAAAACAATATTAATGCAACAGATTTCTGATGAGTTTATACTGCCATATACAACACAAACCAATTCATCTGTCTCATTTACAACTTGCCCCTCAGTGGCACGTCTGCGGACTTACAACACTAGAAACCGGGTTTTGATACCCGTGGTGGGCAGAGCACAGATAGCCCTTGTGTAGCTTTGTGCATAATTAAAAACAAAACATTTACAACTTAAGATGTGAAAATTTCTTTTACTGAAGCATCCAGTGGTTCAGCGGTAAATCTAAGGTCTCACTCCACTAAAAACTGGGTTTCAACACTTGTGAGGGCACAGCAAAGATAACCCATCGTGTAGCTTTGTGCTTAACAACAAACACTGAAACGTCCTTCTGAAACGCGAGTATTTCATATTTTTTTAAATTTTAATGCATCGTATTAATGACTGTTCGAGCCAAAGTTCATGCCCTTTGGACGG